TACTGAATGTACCATGGATTGCCAGGAAAACAAACAGATTCATCTTGGAGAGGATTAAACCAAGCTACTCCTTGGAGGCAAGGATTCTGGGGCTTTGTCTGACATACTTTGGACATGCTGCCAGGAGGGACGAGTCCTTGGAGAGGGACATCAGGCTTGGGAGGGTGGAGGGACGGCGCAGGAGGGAAAGACCCTCTATGAGATGGATTGATTCGGTGACTGGGGTAATCGGGATTGGTGTGTCAGAGGCAGTGGGGTTGGCGAAGGATAGAGCAGGGTTTAGGGCTGTTGTGCATAGGGTCGCTATGAGTCGCAAACGACTCGACGGCACATAACAACTACAACAACAGTATAGACTTATCTTTTCCTTAAAACATTGTGGTGATATTGTCTTTGTATTACTTTCTTTTGATTTATCTGAGTCATATATTGTCTTTGTATTACTTTCTTTTGATTTATCTGAGTCATATAAATGTACTATGTAGCTTGTTAGTCTTGCAATTCTTACTATCATATCCTGTCTTCTGTTGCGTGTGAGAAGTTAGAGGTAGGGATATGGTCTTTTAAAAATACCTACAACCAGGAGAAGATAAAATAGATGAATGGGATCTTCTAAGAATCAAATCCCTATGCACATCCAAAAACTTCTCCAACAGGGTAAAAAGGGAAGCCACAGACTGGGAAAAAGTATTTGGTAATGACATATCAGATAAGGGACTTATATCCAGAATTTAGAAAATACTTGAGCACCACAACAAGATAAAGGTAAATAATCCAATAGAAAAATGGGCACAGGATAAGAATAGACACTTCACCAAAGAAGACATTCAGATGGCTAAAAAGCACATGACGAAATGTTCAAAATCCCTAGCTCTAAGAGAGATGCAAATTAAAACTATGAGATATCACCTCACCCCAGTCAGAACAGCAAAATTTAACAGAACAGCAAGCAACAAATGCTGGTGAGGTTGTGGAGAAACTGGAACCCTTATTCCTGTTGGTGGGAGTGTAAAACGGTGCAACCCCTGTGGAAAATGATGTGGCACTTTCTCAAAAAGTTGCAAATAGAGATACCATTTGACCCAGCAATACCACTACTGGGAATATACCCCAAAGAGATCATAACTGACACCCAAGCAGATATATGCACACCCATGTTTATCGCAGCTTTGTTCACGATAGCAAGGAGTTGGAAACAACCTAAGGCCCATCAACAAATGAATGGATAGAGAAGTTGTGGTATATTCACACAATGGAATACTACGCTGCACTGAAAAACAAGGAACTCATGCAATATTATTAAAAATGGCTGAGTGAAGTATCTCAGTCACAAAAGAACAAATACTGCATGGTGCCACTGTTGTAAAACAGGACTGACATCGGGATTGGGGGGAGATTGAGAAAGATGGGTTTAATAATGTATACTGTATGGAAATAGATGAGGGAGAAAACTGTTTAATAGGGATATGTGATTAGGTATTTTTGTCAATGCAGGAGTCCAGACCAAAGGGTGGATAGTGGTGTGAACCTGGGGGCAGGGATTATAAAACAATGATAGAATTTCTCTTTTACTTTTCCAAGAGGGTAGTGTACTGGAGGAGAGTGTTGGGAGCGGAGAAAAGTGCAACAATGAATGAACAGAAATCCAAAGTCTCAGTTCGAATCCACCAGATGTTCTGCTGGAGAAGGAGGGACAATCTCCTCCTGTATCAGTCAGATCTGATTTGACGGTACATGCACAGAAATTATAAAATAAAATTAAAAAAAAGGAATTATAAAATAAAAAAAATTTTAAAAAAAGAAATCCAAAGTTTCTGTAAATTTTAACTGATATTAAGAATTAATTTTTTAAAAAAGGAAAAAAGTTTCTAATTTCGTATTTCAGTTAGAAAGACCTTCTCTCTAATCTGTAATAGCTGAAAAATGGAATTTTTCCTGAAATTCTATGTGATTTCCATTAGCTGAAACTATGTCTCTCTCTCACACACACACCAAGTCTTTGTGTCTTAAAATTAAAGAAAAAACTTTGCATATCCAAAGGGGAAAGTGCCTCCTGTCACCCTACAGATATGCTCACGAAGACATTATTAAACAGAATGATACTATGGATTATTCAATTATAATGTGCAGTTTTGTGCACAATTCTGATTTAGCACTGCTTTTCTTTTTCTTTTCTTTTCTGGGAACACACTGACTGCCATCTCCTTGTATACGATGGGTGGTGGTTGTTGTTAGGTACTGCTGAGTCAACTATGACTCTTCTGAGTAACAGACCTGAACCTTGCCCTATCTTGCGCCACCCTCACCATCTCTAATATACTTGAGTCAATATGTCAATCCATTTGAGAATGATTATTATCCTCAATCAACACTCTTGGCATGACAACTCAGGAATTCAAGAGACAAATTACCCTGGGGAAATCTGCTGTCAAGGACCTCTCCAAAGTGCTCAAGAGCAACGATCTCAGTCTAGAGACTTTGGTGTGCCCGATTCAACCATAAACTTCACAACTACTTGCTATATATCAAAGAGCTGGAAAATTACTAGGCATGACAGAGAATTGGTGCCTTTGAGTTATGGTGCTGGAGATGAGTATTGAACATAACATGGACTGCCAAGAGATCAGACAGTTCTGTGCTGAAGAGAGTGAAACCAGGCTTTTTGAGTGAAACCAGACTTTGAAGCTTTGGGTCTCATACGTTGGACATGTGGCCAGGAGGCACCAGTCCCTGGAGAACGATATCATGCTTGGAAGGATGGAGGGACCACGGAAGAGAGGAAGACCCCAGTTGAGATGGACTGACACAGTAACGGGGGATAATGGGAAGAGTTGTGTCTGAAAGAGTGAGACTGGCTCAGGAGAGGGCAGGGTTCAGAACTACTGTTCACAGGGTTGCTATGAGTCAAGTTGCAGGTGACTTGATGGCACATAATAACAATTAACAAACCCCTAAATCAAAGAACTCCTGAGTGGTGCAGATTTAAGTACTAAACTACTAGCAGAAAGATTGGAGGCTCAAACTCACTCAGATGTGCATCCAAATTCAGTCCAGCAATTAAAAAAATTTCTAAATCATATGAGAAGAAACCATAACCAGGTAAAATTGAGAGTTGTTCACAGTCACAAAACTTTCACCGACAGATAACATCTGAATCTACATGTGACAATCCAGTTCACATCTCCTTTCTCACTGGCCCCTAAAATAAGTCTGAAATACAGAAACAAACCAACACAGATCTGTGAGCCTCAGATACCTGTTGAGATGAGAGGCCTGCGTAGAGGCAGCCTGGCTCTGAAGTCACCCTCCATAGGTTTCTGGTCAATTATCTACAATAGGTTTTACCTATACTGATTCCTTTACCCGTCATTTGATCCTCAACAAACCTTGACAAGTTGGATACTATCACTCCATGATTTCTATTTACGTAACTAAGTCTCCCAGGCTTGCTCCCAGTTACACAGTATTTGCAAAGCCAGGCTTAAACTCAGGTCACTCTGAATTCAAACATCATGCTCATAACCACTTAGCTCTTCTGTAATGAGACAAGTAAGATGATGCATTTGCAAACTAGTCCTGTAACTCCGCATGAAACAGGACATCCCTGGCCCAAATCCTCAGCTCTTGGCTTACTTGACAGCTCCAACATCCTCTGCGTAGCGCTGCATCTCTTCCCGAGCTCTCTCCTCTCGCAGCTCCCGCTGAAGCTCCTCAATCTTCTTCCGCTCCGCCTCATGCTTCTGTTCAGCCTTCCACACTTTCTCCACATTACGGAGGGTCTGTGGGTGCCAGCTTTTCTTCAGATTCTGCATCAGACGAAAAGAAGGGAAAATATGGTGGTAAAAAAAAAGGAGTGAGTAAAACTGGCTCTCCCTCTTCCACCTCACCATATCCCATTCACTGTACTCCCTCATCCACCTCAGTGTACCCCATCCACTGTACCCTGTACATGCCAGGACAGGCACATAAAGCAAACAGTTGTTAACAATTGCAAGGTCTGTACCAATAATCTTCCACATGTCTGAGGAATTTTCCTCTAGTACATAAAATATCATCATAAAGCAGGTCCTTCTTAAGTTCCCTTCAAAAAGGAACTATCTGATCACACGGACCCAGAGAAAACTACAAAGCACTACTCCAAGAAACCATGAGACTTACATACATGTCTTTGGTAGGTCTTTAAGAAATGGTGCTGGCAAACTATTATTATCTATTTGTAGAAAATTCAAACAGATCCACATCTCACTCCAAATACAAAAACTAACTCAAGATGGATAAAAGGCCTACATGTAAAACCCAGAAAGATCATCACAGAAAAATACTAGCGCAAACTTAGAAGCCCTAATTTATGGCTTACATTGTTGTTGCTGTTATGTGCCGTCGAGTCATTTGCGACTCATAGCGACCCTATGCACAACAGCCCTAAACCCTGCTCTATCCTGCGCCAACTGCACTGCCTCTGACACACCCATCCCAATTACCCCGGTCACCGAATCAATCCATCTCATAGAGGGTCTTCCCCTCCTGCGTTGCATGATGTCCCTCTCCAAGGACCCGTCCC